GAAATGTTTTACAACAGGCAGTGTTCGGGGGGATATTTTCCTTTTAGCATTACTAGCGCCGTCCTAGTGGATACTTATGGAACTAGAACACATCATACAAATTTCTAGTTCCATAAGTATCCACTAAGACGGCGCTAGTAATGCTAAAAGGAAAATATCCCCCCGAACTCCGCCTGTTGTAAAACATTTCGTAACCACAATATTCATCTCGTGTCCAGTCCTGTATATCTTAGTCCGTGATAATTATAATAAAATAAAAATGATAATTTTGTTGTATACATCACAGATATAGATAATAAACTAGATTGCTAACTGGCCTATACAGTCTGTGTATTTATGATATAAATCTGTGGTATACATAATAATCGATTTACAATAGTCAACAGTTGATCTATAAATCTTAAAAACAATTAAAAATGTATTAAATGCAAAATAAATAAATAAAATTTAAGCTGACTCAGAACCTTCTTCATCCGAGTCACAATCGTCATATGTGCATTGGTTGAATTTTTTTAAATGCTGTTCTGTTATAATATAATCAAGGTAACATTTATTGTCGTTTTTTATGTCTAATTTTGTTCTAATCAAAGCTTTTACAGTATTCGTGTTGAGACAATTTCTTTTTTTAGTTTTTATATCAGTAAGCATTGAAAATACCCTTTCTACGCCAGCATTACCATAAGGAAGAGTTAATACAACTAATGAGGTAGGAAAATATACATAGCAAAATATGGAAAAATCACGAAAATTAGCAAATTACTTTGAGTTAAGAATTTGTAAAAATTTTTCTTTTTAAATCTAAGGTTTTAAAATGTAATACAAGATTCCTTATAAGATTATCTACCTTTATCAAAAAAAAATGTGTATAATAAAGTCTAATTAAATTTTTATGAGCGTTTGAAATTCAAATTTCTACAACATTGGATATTCACTCGATTTCTCATGTAGCGATTTCCTTATTTTGTTGTAATTCAAAAACGAATAACTTTAGATACATGAAAATTTCACTGAATATTTATATTAGCATTTCCTATACACCATACAATTTTTAAAATATTTTGACTCTTTTTGAGCTGTTTACGGACATTTTTTTAGTTTTTTTTTCTATAAATATCAACAAAGTTTTATCTGTTGGACCAAAAAGTGTAAAAATTTATTACAAGGCTCCTGATATATTGTTACAATAGCAGTTGAAAAATATTAAAAATACATAGTCACAGTTTTTTTTTACAAGCATTTAAAGATCGAATTTTGACAACATTTATCAAAATATCGAAAATTTTAAATCATTGTAATTAATAAATTATAAAATGTTCAGTTTTTATAGCTAAGGATTGCAAATTCAAAACAAAGGTTCTCATAAATAGTTCATACTGTAACCAAAAAATCTAAAAAATATATGAACACAGTTATTTTTTACAGACATTTTAAATTCAAATTTGGACGAAATTACATATTAAAAAACCTAGAATAACTATTTTAGTTATTTTGTTGTGATTGAATAATATTATTCGTGGGTACTTGAAACTTCTAAAGTGTACTACTATATATCTATGATATTATCACGGTTTTTATTGATGCATAACGCGTTATAAGTACCTAATGGATATTGTGATATGATTAATTTGGAATTTATTATAGGTACCTAGGTACCTATAAATAATAGCTTTAATAGCTATTGTAGGTCAATTTTTTGTTTAATACCATAGATATGTATATAATATGTCTTATACATAGACTGACATACCGTCTCCGCTCAGAATCGTTTTTCTTATACAATGATATTATATCGTCTTTACAGCGTAGGTTAAAAGAGGGTTACCATAATTATGAATGGTATTAAATTTGTATTCAACGATATAATATCATTGTATAAGAAAAACGATTCTGAGCGGAGACGGTATGTCAGTCTAGGTACCTATAAGACATATTATATACCTATATGTATATCTATAATAGGCACCTATATAAATATAAAATTCCAAATTAATCATATCACAATATCCATTAGGTACCTACTTATAACGTGTTATACATCAATAACAAACCCTGATACTATCATAGATATATAGTAGTGTTTCAAGTAACCACGAATAATATTATACAATCACAACAAAATATCTAAAATAGTTATTCTAAGTTTTTTATTATGTAATTTCCTCTAAATTTGAACTTAAAATAAATCCTATTAATGATATTAAATTATTATGAAATATTTCATAGTTTGTTAAAAGGTACCTATGTACTTTTTACCCAAATAGAAATAAAGGAATATCTACTGTTTTTTGTTTTTCCTGAAAAGTAGTTGAAAATGTACATGGGTCCCTTTTAACAAATTTCCATTCATTTATAAACAATTTGATATTTAGTTCTTTAGGTAGGTATACTTTCTTTGTAAATATCATAGATCAGTTTCAATAATCAGAATATTTTTTTTCCCTTAAGGACGTACGGAGTTCACATCACTTAAAAATAAGAACTATGGTATTATGTCCAATAAATGTGTAAGTCTACTTACAGACTTACAGTACTTTAGTACTTTTATTTTTGAATTTAAACAACTGACTAGTAAATAACAATAATGGGTTCAGAAAATTACAAGTTTTTCTTTCAATTGTTTGGATCGGATAATGTTGGCGAAGCTTTAATTTATATTCCGGAAAAAGGTAGTTCTGGTCAATATTAGATTGTGGAAAATGAAGAAACACCAAGACTGGCAGAGTGATGGCCTATATTTTATGTTAAAACTTAATCGATTTATTTGTTTTATCTAAATATGCATTTAACATAACGAGTGATTTGTGTTATTAATCGTATTTAATATTACTAAAATGGTAAAATGTTGGCTCAGTGTTTATTTAATACAATATGTCCATGACACAGATAATTTATGATCGTATAATTATTATTAATAGTTATTACGTATAGCTGCTTAATAAATATGCATATTTTATAACAGTGTATTATCAGACAATTTTTGATTTTCACGTGGTATGGCCTATTATTTTTACCATCATTTATTATTTCATAATAATAAATAACAACTTAAAAAAATAATCTTTGCACTTCTATTGACATTTTTATCTCGCTTATTTCGACTGATTCGACTTTGGCAATTGACCGATAATGTTGTTTATTTTTTATTTCAATTATACAGTGTCTATTATATTAAACACGATACGTGTGCAGTCGCAAATTAAACGAATTTACAATAAAACGCGTGTAATTGATTTGTATTTGCAGTCTGAATTTGCAGCATTATTCTGACTATATTTTATTTTAAGTCTGCTTATGCAGTCAAAATTACAAATATCCTACTAATATTATAAACGTGAAAGTTTGCAAGTATGTTTGTTACTCTTTCACTTAAAAACTACTGAATGGATTTAATGAAACCTTACAATAATATAGCTTATACATCAGAACAACACATAGGCTACAAATCACCCCCCTAGGTCTTACCAGGGTATGTGCTCAAACGGGGATTTAGATATTTAAGGTGGAAATTTTTGTTTATAAATGGTCGCCATGGCTTGTAAAGTTATTATAATAATAATTATTGGTTGCCGTGAAATCAGTGTATTCATTCAATGCACTTAATTTTTTTGTACGCTGTGTTACGTACAAACAGCACGGGGTCCGCGATCTAACGCATGTAGATGCCTACCTGATAATATACTGCTGCGAATCAGAATTTTTATCCCAGACAACGGAAGAGTTAAGATAAATTTTGAACACCATACACCGAATATTAAATAACTAATTGAACAAAGTTTGAGTCATATAGAGTTGATACATTTAACGGGAAACGAAGTGCATGGGATCAGCTGACAGCTAGTAAATGTATAAGCGGGGTGACTGATACCGTATTGGCCGATATCATGCACCTAACCTATAGGAGGCGATGAACAATTGAAATAGAAACTAAAACCAAACCGAAAAGAACCTAGTCTAGAATTCAACAATCCGAAAAAAAGATTGGGAACTAGAACTTTCTCACACAATTCGAAATTATTATAGTTTTAGTTCCTTCAATTTAAAAATGTTTATTATAGGTTGCCGCCGCAACATAATAACATAGCATTATTGTGGCGAACCAGCCGTCAGCACCAGCCCACGTAGCGCGTGTAAGTACTGTTACGGGTACACGGCGGCTAAGAGTTCGCGCTCATCGCGCGATCAGTTTCTCGCCTCATCAAAATTCAGCTTCACCATCAACTCATCATTCAACTCTCCGGCAGTCTACATTTCCATTTCACTTTCATTTTTCGGCTTCACCTTCAATTTCAACTTCCGTCTACATTTCAATCACCATCAACCTTCCATCTTCGTCAACAGCTCAACTTTATTTTTCATCGGCTCTCTTACATTGTAAACCAAAAAATCTGTAAATATTTTTCTTTTTTCAAGGGGGGAGTGATGTGGCGAACCAGTGCCTTCACCACATACTCCCTCCCGATGTCGGTCGCGCTCCCTGCGTTGGCAACACCGCTCGGCCCTCCGCGTCGTTCGCGACCGCGAAGTGTCGGGCGGCCGCCAACGGTCTCTTTCTCGGCAACCGTCAACCGACGTACACGACGTACACGACGTACACGACAACGTCTCGAACACCGCCGCCGTCTTTCTGGCTTCTGCCACTGGCAAAAGTACCCAGCAACACGACCACAGGGACCCAATTCTTGAAATCATTCGACTATTTGTCGAATGCGATAAACACGTTTGTCGCACGAATTAAAAATAATGTTATTCTCGAAAAGTGAAAAAATTTTGTCGAACAAAAATCATTCGACAATTTGTCGACTGGGTCTTGATGGGTGACAAAACTTTTGTCGCAAAATAATATTGTTTTATCACGAAAATTGTTTTCCGCGGGCTTTTGCGTGGAGGCCGAAATTTTGATAGGAAACAAAATAATAATTAGAATCTTCAATCTACACGTCTTCCTAAAAAGTATATGTACACGACCGACGTCTCTACCTATAGAAAAAAGAACACGTACAATGGATTTTGATTTAATGGCATATTTCGTTAACATCAATCAACAAATGAATTATACAAGAAATAATTTTCAAAGGCCTACTTACGATGCTTTTGCGTTGACAGATAGACTGTTAATGAAGAATTTTCGGCTATCAAAAGAATTAACGCAGTATTTGATTAATATATTAAAGCCGTACATTGTTGTCGATAGCCGATTATCCTCTATCGATATTCAAACAAAAGTAAAGTAAAATGTGTGATTATTAATCTAGTTTAGTGTACATTCAATTTTTTTACTTTAAGTTTACGATACCCACATTGAAATATACGGGATTTGGAAAAAAGAATTTGTGTGAACGCTAAACTGGATTTGATCTTTATTGTCATTTGTAATCTAAAGGCTAGTAATAATCTTTTTTTTAAGGTTTTAGTAGCTTTAAATTTTTTTGCTACCGGGTCGTATCAAACGTCAGTTGGCAATAGTCGATTGATGAATTTGTCACAGTCATCTGTATCTAGATGTGTAAAAGAAGTAGTTGCTGCATTGAACCAGCCCGAAATATTTAACACTTGGGTAAAATTTCCTAGCAATATTCAAGAGCTTGATGAAGTCCGTAACGAGTAATATAATATGTTAAATTAAAAATGTACATTATACAAGATTATGTGCTGTTTAAAACTAATTTTGTTAAAACTGTGAAGGTTTTATAAAAAAACTGAATTTGCTGGTGTAATAGGCTGCTTAGATTGTACCCACATAGCCATTGTGTCTCCTTCAAAAAATTTGAATCTTGTTGAAAATCAATATCCAGAATATATGTATGTAAACCGCAAGAGTTACCATTCAATTAATGTTCAGCTAGTAAGTAGGATTACCGGCTATTATAAAATTACAAGTAAATCATAAATTATGTTTCCAAAGTAACTACACAATGCTCCACTTTTTAAATATAGGTATGTGATTCAAATCTAAAAGTACTGAATGTAAGCGCACTGTTTCCCGGAAGTACTCACGATGTCCACATATGGAACAACAGCAATGTTTCAATCATGCTCGAAGAACTACATGCACATAATTATAGTGACTACTTTTTATTAGGTAAGTTTTATTTCATAATACTAGTAAACCATAATAATTTGTGTACCTACCAGGAAGAGATACATATTATTAACTTTCTCACAACTTAAAGTGGTTATATGATACAATCAGTTGACAAAAAATTAATTATAACAATATGTGTAATTTAAGTATAAGTATTACAAACTTTTTTATGTATTTTGATAGGCGATTCTGGTTATCCGTTACGCCCATGGCTTCTAACGCCTATTGCTCAACCAACCACAGCAGCCGAAGAAAATTACAACAAAAACCAAATGTATGTAAGAAGTGTAATAGAAAGATGCAATGGAGTCCTAAAAATGCGGTTTAGGTAGCAAATCAATATTTTCTTAAGTTTTATTCAATGTGTTGGTAATACCATTGGTACTTTTAAATCATGTGTAGGTGTCTTTTGAAGGACAGAGTACTCCATTATAAGCCAGAAAAGGCCACTGCTATAATTAATGCATGCACTGTTCTACACAACATGTGTATCGAGCGCAATATTGTTGAAGTGATAGATGAAACTGTAGAAGATTTTGATTTGGGAATGTATCACAATCAAGAACCACTCAATGAACACGTGAATGATAACCGTAATAGAAATTTGATGTTAGGAAGAAGACAACGAGACAGAATTGTAGGGTTTCTTCAAAATCGAAATTTAATACAACCATAAGCAACTGTTTCAATTCCATAAAGTATATTATACTAAGTATTTAGTCATTATAATTTAAAATAAAATAGTTAATTTGTTAATAAATGGCAGTCTTTTAATTGTTGAGTTAATTATTATTACAATATAACAAATAATAATTATAATAGAATATTAAAAAAAGGTCTCCCTCGAGTACACGACCCGTAACACACTCTCATCGCGTAAAGAACCCGACCCGTCAGTGCGTCGGAACAGAACATCGCGACTCGACACCGTCCCCGCTGTTAGTGACCGGCATTGCCTCATCTTACCTTGTAATATATTTTACGTCCGTCTAATTACAATAAATATTTATCAACTACAAGCCGTCTCAGAGCACATTTATTTCGTACCTTGCGTATGTTGGCCGCGTAAGTTCTAACACCCTTTTAAAACCTACGCGCGCCACATTATTTTTATATTATCATTATGACATTATCACTGGTCACGGAGTAATAGCTGGACTCACACACACATATCATATTATTAGTACTGTTTTATTTTTGTATTGAATGTGTCTTGTGAGTTATATAATATGTAGATTAAACATTATCGCACGCCGTCGCGCCGTCTATGCGAATTTTATTTGGCACGGCGGCCGTCAATCCGTCCTGTCTCGTACCGTACGATGTTTCGATATTATTAACTCGTACTTTTCAATATTTGAACAAGTGTTAAAACAAAATTGTGAGCTCGAATCGCCACTAATATTATTAGATGTAAATCTACTGTGTTTCTCAGCAATGTGTCTACATTATTGTTCTTTCGGTGCTGATCGCCGAAGACATTCTTTTTTTATTCATTTTATTATTGTGAGCCATAAGTGCAATACTTTATCTTTATTACAATTCATATACCATTGTCATTTTGTACAATTTATATTATTATAGCACAGGACCAGCTGGCCAGTCTGCGCTCCATGAATTGTGAGTTTTTATTATTATTTATTTATTTTACGTATTACATTATTTGTTAGGCCAAAAGGGCCGTACACATTTTATAATTATTTTACTATCGTGCCAAAAGGGCCGCATATTATTTTTATATTTTATATTATATTATTCTAGACGAGTTTATACTCATACCAGCAATTATTAATCTGTATATTATTATTATATTCTGTTCAGCTATAAGGGCAGCGAATTATAATATTATTATAATTTATCATTGTGAATTATTTAAAGTCGTGTACCTATTATACATCAAGTTGCCATTGAACCTTGTTACAATTTTTGTATTAATTGTTTAATTGTATACTTACACACCAACATACATACACACATTCATACACAAATACACATAATCCACAACATGCACTACATAGCCGACAGCAATATTGCTAGGCGATCTCGACCACTGCTGTTCGAGCTATTACACCATTACACACCCAGCTAGTCCTCCATTATATATTTTTTAGACCTAGGTGTTAGTGGCGTAAAAAAAAGGAGTTTGGTGTCCGGACACGTATATTATTATTATATACTCCGGCCCGTACACAATTATTAATATTTTGAATTTACTACTTAAGGATGTAGATATAAAATAAGAGTTAGTTATTTTTTAAACAAATTACATTTTTCATAAGATCAATACATTTTTGTGTATAAATGATTATACTAAAACCCCAACATTTATTTTCAAAACCGAAAGCAAAAACAAAAAGTTTTCAATAAGAAAATATAAATAAGGGAATCTCCAACTGAACCAGAATCTAGGTTTAAAAGTAGAATAATAACTTTGTATCAGTATTAGCTTTCAATGTTCTTATGAAATTACAAAATATATCTTAAAACTTAAAAGTCTTATAATTAATTGAAAGTGGGTCATTCGTTGTTGAATTATAATATAATTTATTATACGTTAAACACTCTGCATGATGGTGCCAAATATTTGTATTATTTTATGCTTCCCCATTAATCTATACAGTAAAAAATATATACATAGATAAAAACGTGTACCTAAACACACAAACGATGTAGTGACGTTCAAAATTAAAAATATTGATTGTAAAAATAATACTCATTAATGTTGGATAGATATTTTTTGTCAAAATTGACTTTATAGGAACGTTTATATCAAAACCATGGATGTTTGAAGGTACCGCAGATGGTACTCTCCAGACATCCAACGAAACACCCACCTTCGTAAGTAGAAAATTCATTACTCATCAACCCCCATCTCGACCGCGAGGCAAGTCCCCTAAGGGGTGACACGGCTGGGTTTCGCACCGAAGCGAAGGACTCCCAAATCATGACCAACCGCGGCAATCGCAGTCAATGCAAAACGCAAATCCACACCTCCAAACAACACCGTAAAGAAAGGACGCAACCAAACATTCTCACCACCTTCCATATCGCAAACTATCCCAGGCATCGCACCAATAAGCCAACGCTATTCTCCAACTTCGCCATATGTTGCCGAAGAAACCTTATCAGAAGACTCATTTCGGCCGTCAACCACAGAAGACGATGAAAGCAGTCATCAGTCCTCTACAAACGACCATCAGCCCATACCAAAAAGACTCCCGCCTATATTTCTGACGAAAAAACCTGAGTACTCATGGCGCACCATAGCCAAAAGTCTTTATGAATCACCCGGACATGAATATATAGAAACAAGTACCACCTCTAAAGCTGATTTTCGCTCAGTACAATCTTTTCTCGAATCCATCCAAAATAAAGTAGGGTTCCACACACATGCACTTCCTAGCCAAAACACACTAAAAATAGTCATCAAAGGCATTCCTCTTGATATCACAGATCAAGAAATAATCGATGAACTCAAATCCAATGGTTTTGAGCCAACATTTATCAGAGCTTTCTCAAAAACGGCCACAGAATTAATCTATATATGGTTACTCTTGCAAACCTCGAACAAGCTAAAGATATATACCAAATATCTAAACTCTTCTATTTCAACGTCAAAATCGAGCTGTATCGATCAACTGGTCCAGCAAAATGCTACAAATGAAAAAACTTCGGCCACTCCTCCCTCCAATGCGGCCACTCTTCAAGATGTGTCAAGTGTGGCGACACCCATGCTTCAAACTCGTGCATCAAACTTATCGACGTCGCGCCCAAATGCTGCAACTGCGGTGAAACTCACACCGCTAACTATTGAGGATGCCAATTCTACATAAACCTTATGAAACAAAAAGAAGCCCATCCAGCAATCATCAAGGCCTACAAACTCAGAATCTCCAATCGCCCAACTCCGCCTGAACCATCTACATGTCTTAACAACACATCATCTCGGACCCACCCAAAAGCATCATTCGCTGAAGTCACCAGTGGTCAAAAACCAGCAGTAACCGAACCTTCTATAACGGCCACCAAAGTACTGTTTATAATACATAAACTATTAGCTTCAGCTCATGAATGTAAGGACGCCTCCACCAAAGATTCCATCATAAACACCATCATGTCAATCATCACAGATTTCTCAGCCCAAAGTGAATAACATTAATATTCTCTTTTGGAATGGCATCAAGTACAAAAACAACGAACTAAACACCTTCGCACGTCTCAACAACATACACGTCATTCTCCTCCAAGAAACTAAATTAAACCCATCAACCATACTCAAGATCCCAAACTATTTTACCTATCGTCAATATCACCCACCAAAACCCAGATCCCCATCAGAGGGTGGTACTGCCATGCTTGTCCACAAAAACATAATCCACAACCAAGAGGACATCAAGACTTCCCTTGAGTCAACTACAGTCACAATCAAACTTGGATATGACCAAGTCCGTATAACTTCTATGTAAAAAAATCCGAATTCTCCCTTGTTAACCAATGACCTGAACATTCTAACAAATCAGAACGGCCTCTTTCTAGCAGCTGGCAACCTTAACACGAAACATTAGTCTTGGAACTGTCGCACTACAAACTAGGCGGGCAGAATTCTCCACCAACATATGGAAACATCCAACACATACTCCATTTGCGCAACTGACTCCCCAACACACTACTCCTACAATTCTTTACACAGGCCAGAGATCCTGGATATAGCACTTGTAAACCTCCATCACAGAGAGTATTTCCTTACCAATCATAATGAACTAACGTCAGACCACAACCCAATTGTTATGACTATAAGCGACTTTCCTATTACAATAAACCCTCCGGCTGCCAGAAAAAGAATTAACTGGAAGAAATTTGAGCAAGAATTATCGCTTAAATCCCCAAAACTGACGACCAAATTATCAAGCCCAACAGAAATCGACAACGAGGTTGATTCATTTACCACACTCATCCAGTCATCAACCGAAAAATGCTTCTACCTCATCAACAAACCTCAAACCAGAGAGCCACTCTCCCCCGATATCCTGAACGAGGGACACAACACAAGGACAATTTTCCGGTGATTCTACCAAGAACGAAGGGCCAGTCCACCATGAAGGGTGATCAACAAGTTCCGGCGGAAAGAGTCCACTGGAAGCACAGTCGACGGGGACGTGATGCCAAATGACTGGTGAGGTGAATTCATGAATTTGACTTCTTCGATTTGCAAGGAACGTGGCCCAACGATGAGGCGACGATTGTATCCAGGCTAACGCAGTGGTTGAGTCCGTCCAAGTATGCTATTCATCAGTTTGAAGACTCTTCGAGTAAGTATCAGCAACGAAATGTAATAGTTTGGCGGCTAATATAGTTCCACACAGCTCAAGGCGTGGAATAGTAGACCTTTTGAAAGGTGCTTCTTTAGATTTACCTGTTACAAGGTGACATTGAGCTGAAGTAGCTGTTTGTGGTCGAAGGTAAACTGCCGTAACGTAACCTAACGTAACCTTTCTCTGAGTTATCCGAGAAACCGTGAAGTTGCACTGTGGTTGCCTTGTCAACCGTTATATGACGAGGTATAGAGATCGATTCAATCAACTTCAGCTCTAATTTGTGTCGTGTCCACACTTGAGCAATATCTGTGGGTATCTTGTCATCCCATTTTAGACCAGCAGTCCAAAGGAACTGCATGACTTGTTTTGTCCAGAACGTTATGGGAGACAGCAAGCCTAACGGATCGAAAACTCTGGCAATGTCTGAGAGAGCTGACCGCTTTGTTGGGTCAGTTGACGATGGTTTTGTATCAAATGAAAACACTTCAGCTCTCGGATCCCATTTTAAACCAAGTATTTTTATTTCAAATTCATATGTGTCATTATACAGAAGGGCTGGGACATTGCTTGAGCTTCTGCGGCTACAGCTTGTAAGATATTACTGTTATTGATGGCCCATTTTCGGGGCTCAAACTTGGCTAATGAACAGAGTTTTATAAGCTGCGACTGATATCAAGGGCATCCTTTTCGGTGTTATCTCCAGTGAGAATATCATAGACGAAGGTGTCGTTTAGGAGAATTGATGCAGCGATGGGAAATAATTTTCCATCAACGATGGCCAATTCCTGAATTGTACGAAAAGATTGATATGGTGCCGATGACGTGCCGTCAGTGACCGTACAGAGACAGTATTCCTGCACTGTATTTTTTTTCGAAAATCTCCAGAATATTCACAGGTTATCTCGATCAGCAGGCCGCACCTCAATTTTAAAATACATCTGTTTGATTTCTGTCATAAATACATATTTCCACAACCGTGCACGAAGAAGAACAACTTGAATGTCGGGCTGAAGTTTCGGCCCCGTATACATTCTCTCATTCAAGGAACACCCAGCACTTGTACGAGCCGAAACTTTGAAAACGACACGAAGCTTGGTGGTGCTACTGTACTGCTTAAGTACACAATGATGAGGAATATAATAATGAAACACATTGTCTGTGTTTTCGAGTGGACCCAGTTCCATGTGACCAGCGTCCAGGTAATCTTGCGTGAAGTCTGCGTACTGGCGTCGAAGGTTCTGATCATTACTCAGTCAGTTTTCGAGTGCCTGGAAGAGCGAAGGGCAACAGATTTCGAATCACCTAACACAGGCGATGCTTTCCGAAATGGAAGAGATACCATGTATAGTCCAGTAATCAGCCAAGTTGTTGTTTTTTTATAAATGAGCAGCGCGCCCATCTGGACTGAGATGGCGAACAGCAGGTAGCTCTTCAAGTTCCCAGAAACGCCTGATAGACAAGTCAAGAGTTTCAGAAACAGATTAACACATAGTTGTGACAGTTGACTGAGCATTACTGTCGACAGGTCCCATCAGAATCCAACCGAGAACAGTCTCGAAGGAAATGGGCATGCCAGGCTGGCCTGTGGCTTTTCCATTTAGAAGTGGCATTGGCAAGATGTCGGCCTCTAACAAACGATCGACTGACTGAGGACGATGGTACAACGGATCAGCGAGAGAGAGGTTTTGAATATGCCTCCAGTGTCTCGGTATGATAGGATCTTGCCGAGTCAGTCCTGTGATTTGTGGGATGATGTAAGGGTACACTCAAAATGACGGTGCCTGTTGGCCACGTGGCATCACAGTGATAGTTGTTTGACCACGGACTGGGGACGTTGTACTATTGGGAAACGTGGTAATTGCACCGGTCGAATGATGTCGCTTTAGCATCAACCCACAAGCAGTTTGTTCAGTTATAAAACTCGCTTGAGCACCATTGTCAAACAGGGCTCGAATTGAATTACGGGAGCCGTCAGCAACAACCACATCAAGTAGGACAGTAGAGATTAAGACTACGTTCTGGGGCTGTCTTCTGATAATCATTGCTTTGGCATTCTGTTCAGCCCCTGTTTGGTCTGCTGAGAGAACCGTGGATGAGGATGGAAACTATTATGAGACCGATGAAAAGTTGTGAATTTGTATTTTGAAGGGCATGATGATGTAGATTGTCGTGTGCCTAGACAATTTATGCACAAACGACGCGTCTTGGCTAGCTGGAAACGATCATTTGGTGATTTTGAAGGAAACGTTGGACACTTTCGGACCGTAAGTGGTTTTGTACATAATGGACAGGTAACCAAGGTGGATGAGGTGGTATTAGCTGCTAGAACGTTTGGTGCAATCGGGTTACGAGATTTGGAAGTCATCGATTTATGAGGAGGTTTTTGCTGGGACGTGAACGACGTAAAACTCAACGTGTACTCTCCAGCACGTGCTTCCGCTGAACGTACATGACTACTATTTAATTTTAAATTATGCATAATAAAAGGCAATGCCGCATCACACTACATGTAATCAAAAATGGGCATGTAACATCTTACCAAAAAAACATGTGATTCAATGCATAAGTACCCATAATAATTGCGGTATTTTAAAGCAAATATTAACTATAACAAATTGTAAATTTAACGCTAGGGGTCTCATAAAATGAATTAATCATTGATAAAAATATTAAAGATACATAAACAAAATTATTTCTAAGTTCATTTAAAGTTCAATTTTTTACAAAATTAATCAAAACCCTGAAAATGTTCATATTTTTTTTCAGTTAAAAATTCATAGAAGTTTTCTTTTTATAGCCTATACTAGACATTTTAATAGAATTATTATTAACATTTATTATTATTTTTATAATGCACATTTTGTTTTGGAAGTTCTTTAAATAAATTAATCGGTCCATGGTAACTGAGATAAGAAACGTATATTAAAGATTGAATGCCTTAAATGTATCTTGAGAATACTGTATCTACTATAGTAGACCCTAATCGCGTTGTAGAAATATTTGGATAATATATTAATATCATATTTTCATTTTCACATGACATTCGTATTTACGTATGAAAACATACAGCGTACCTACAATCAAAATCTGCTTATAATTCATCATATAAGTTTAATTTTGTTTTATTTTTTACATATTTAAGTACCTACTTGATGGATCATATTAATAGATTATTATTTATTAATATATGAACAAAATAAAAATAGGTACATTTAATACAACTATATAGGTTGTGAACTATGCAAATTGATATTATATTTTGTGATCAATTTTTTAATAATAGTAAGTGGTTTTTTGTCTTTTAACAAAGTTTGTTTACGATTTTGATATCCAATTTACTTTTTTCGAAGGTCATAATTGTATTAAAATAATATTAAACAAGTCTATAATCAATAAACAACAGCGCGCAGTAATGAAAGAAAAATTATTAATTAGTATAATCACAATGCTCTAGGCCAGAGGTTTCCAACCTTTTTTGACTCGCGGCACCCTTGGACATTTTCTAAAAATCTGGAGGCACGCTATGCTCTATAGTCTATATTATAGAGTACTTCGATTCTATTTATTAGTGCATAAGTATAATCAAATCAAAATAATAATAATCAAATTACACAAATTTAAAAAGACGACGAATCAGTATAGGCTAGTTGATCACTCATGATTTAACACACGAGTTAAAAACAAAAATAATCAACTAGTTAAGTAAAGAAGTTAAAAGAAATTAACTTTTCAACTTAACTTTAACTTTTTAAAGGGTTAATGCCCACCTTTGTGAAATGGTAGGGGTGGGTGCATATGTGTGTGTGTGTGTGTGTGTGTGCGTCATTCGTTCGGTTGTATAATATTGATCCGTTTTGGGTGTGTATGTGTGTGTGTGGGCATCATTCGGTCGGCTGTATAATATTGTTCCGTTACTCGGCCAAAACAGATATATTGTAGATTAAATGCCTTCAATGTATCTTACGAATACTGCATCTATTATTATAGTAGATCCTAGTTGCTTGTAGAAATATTTGGATAATATCATATTTTCATTTTCACATGGCATTTGTATTTAAGTATGAAAACATAGAAATCAAAATTATTTTTTATATGCGTCTGAAAACGTTGAAAACTCATAAAATGTTTCTTTTAATGTTTAAAAAGTATTTAAGAAAGAAACAATATTCCAGTAATTAAACTTAAATAATAAACAAATTATTTTTTTATATTTTTAATGAATATCGAGGTCACTGGATAAAAAATTGAGGCAAAAGACCTAAGATTGGAAAAGGGGAAACCTGTCCCGAGGTCTTGTCTTTTTTTAAGTTTTTATACTATCTTCTATAATTAATTTATTACACAAGTTCTATAAATAAGACAATTATTTACTAAAATATTTTTAATCATGTTTAATTATTTAGATAACACGTTACGCAGCAGCAACCAGTACAAAGTACAGGTACAGCAGCGACCGGTCTACACTTTTGTCAACCACCACCATGGACACGACAGCGCGAAACCATTGACTCACCCACCTCTCCGCAAAGAAGATTGTAGGACGGGAAAGCAAGTCACGCGAAACGAGTACCGGAGGCTTCGGTCTCGCATCGTAACCGTCGTCACGAAAAATTATGTCTTTTTCGAACAGTGTCACCAATGACCATCATACACGAGTCACGTTACGTACGTTTCAAATATCTCTGTTCATTCACCTCATGTATCGGCGATCGCCTGTTAAGCGTTGAATGTTCCTAACCAATAAAGTATTTCGTCCTTAAATAAATCATTTTGTGTGTTTCCTTCACCACCACTCAACAATCGCAACTGGACCCTCACGGACAGCCCATTTCAAATAGGCTCCCCGGCGGTGAATGGAACCCCGCCCACACAACATTTGGGAAATGATAATATTTTGTGAAAGTCTTAAAGTGGTTATATACTGAATATTTGATTAATAATATTTCATAAAAACTTATTTTTTATAAAATATTTTCATATTATGTACAACATTTTTGGAAAAAGAATATAACAAAAATATATCCTAATTATTTACGCAACTTTTTAAAATATTTTAACAACTATATTATTTTCCTGAAAATATTTTTAAAATAAGTTAGGAAATATTTCTATATGCTGTATGGACGGTCTCCCACGTGACAGGCGGAGATACTTACCACTATAATACCAAGCATAATAAAGATCAACATATAAATAACCAAAATAATATTACTTTAATAAAGACTAAATTGAAGGAAAACAATACAAATATGAATATGAAATATGTAAAATATATTTTATGAATTTTTTAAAATAATTTATTTAAGGCGTCAAATTCAAAGTTTATTAGCTAACAATCGTTTCCGTAATTTAATTACATTAAATTTTCAATTTTTTTTTTTTAAGATTTAAATAATCATTATATTGAAGGGCCATTGATCCAGATGTTAGCTGTGAGCCCTACTATCTTGATAAAGTCTGCGATGGAACCCACATGAGTTTAAATAGTTTGATGTCTTGAATAATATGATGTATTTTTAAAGAGTTTTCCGGTTACGGTATCATTGTTAAGTTTTTTTAATTTGATTCTGTAGTCACTTTTTATACGGGTTTCCTCGACATGTATCCATGCATGGCTTTTTAAATATGATCGAAGAAGAAACCATTGGTAGCAGATAACACATTTATATGGTATTTATCTGGTATGTGTCATTGTGTGACATGTCAAAATTGTTTTCCGAGAAAACACTTGATCACAGTTATGACATTTAATCGGCTTTTCACAGGTATGTCTTTTTATGCCTTATTAAATTTGATTTCTGAGAAAACAATTGATCACAGTTATGACATTTAAACGGCTTATCACCCGTATGTGTCCTTGTATGATTAATTAAAATTGATTTCAGAGAAAACGATTGATCACAGTCATCACATTTATAAGGTTTTTCGCCGGTATGTGTCCTTGTATGATTAATTAAACTTGATTTCCAGGAGAACGCTTGATCACAGTTATGACATTTAAACGGCTTTTCACCGGTATGTGTCCTTTGATGGCTTATTAAATTTGATTTCTTAGAAAACGCTTGATCACAGTCATCACATTTATAAGGTTTTTCGCCGGTATGTGTCCTTGTATGATTAATTAAAGTTGATTTCTGAGAAAACGATTGATCACAGTTATGACATTTAAACGGCTTTTCACCGGTATGTGTCCTTTGATGGCTTATTAAATTTGATTTCTGAGAAAACGACTGATCACAGCCATCACATTTAAACGGCTTATCACCCGTATGTTTAGTTGTATGATTAATTAAACTTGATTTCCAGGAGAACGCTTGATCACAGTTTTGACATTTAAACGGCTTTTCACCGGTATGTGTCCTTTGATGGCTCATTAAATTTGATTTCTTAGAAAACGCTTGATCACAGTTATGACATTTAAACGGCTTTTCACCGGTATGTGTCCTTGTATGATCAATTAAAATTGATTTCCGAGAAAACAATTGATCACAGTTATGACATTTAAACGGCTTATCACCCGTATGTGTCCTTGTATGATTAATTAAAATTGATTTCAGAGAAAACGCTTGATCACAGTTATGACATTTAAACGGCTTATCACCTGTATGTGTCCTTGTATGATTAATTAAAATTGATTTCAGAGAAAACGCTTGATCACAGTTATGACATTTAAACGGCTTATCACCTGTATGTGTCCTTGTATGCCTTATTAAAGTTGATTTCCGAGAAAACACTCGATCACAGTTATGACATTTAAACGGCTTTTCACCGGTATGTGTCCTTTGATGGCTTATTAAATTTGATTTCTGAGAACACAATTGATCACAGTTATGACATTTAAACGGCTTATCACCCGTATGTGTCCTTGTATGATTAATTAAAATTGATTTCAGAGAAAACGATTGATCACAGTCATCACATTTATAAGGTTTTTCGCCGGTATGTGTCCTTGTATGATTAATTAAACTTGATTTCCAGGAGAACGCTTGATCACAGTTATGACATTTAAACGGCTTTTCACCGGTATGTGTCCTTTGATGGCTTATTAAATTTGATTTCTTAGAAAACGATTGATCACAGTAATGACATTTAAACGGCTTTTCACCGGTATGTGTCCTTTGATGGCTTATTAAATTTGATTTCTTAGAAAACGCTTGTTCACAGTTATGACATTTAAACGGCTTTTCACCGGTATGTGTCCTTTGATGGTTTATTAAAGTTGATTTCTGAGAAAACGATTGATCACAGTCATCACATTTATAAGGTTTTTCACCGGTATGTGTCATTGTATGAATAATTAACCTTGATTTTTTAGAAAACGCTTTATCACAAAAATCACATTTATACGGCTTTTCACCGGTATGTGTCCTTGTATGATAAATTAAACTTGATTTTTTAGAAAACGCTTGATCACAGTCATCACATTTATAAGGCTTTTCACCGGTATGTGTCCTTTTATGCCTTATTAAATTTGAATTCCGAGAAAACACTTGATCACAGTTATGACATTTAAACGGCTTTTCACCGGTATGTGTCCTTGTATGATTATTTAAAGTTGATTTCTGAGAAAACGATTGATCACAGTCATCACATTTATAAGGCTTTTCACCGGTATGTGTCCTTGTATGATTAATTAAACTTGATTTCTGAGAAAACGCTTGATCACAGTCATCACATTTATAAGGTTTTTCGCCGGTATGTGTCCTTGTATACTTTGTTAATTTGGATGATGTAGACATTTTATCACAGTTGTTATCTAATCCCAATGGATTTTTATTTAGGCAGTTAGATATCAAATCTAAATTCATACCAGTTATGTTTTCTGCAGAATTGCTCTCGCTTAAAACTCTTCCTTTAAATTCAAAACCTTCAATATGATTTACTTCAGTTTTTATTTCGGTATCGATGGTGTCAAAATTCAATTCAGTTTTAGTTCTAAAAAATAAAATAAAGTATTTAAAAAATGTTATCCTTTTTCAATTAAAATAAAATAAAATTCATTACATAGTATGGGTATTTTAATTATGAATGAAGGTATACCTTATAACCAATTCGTTATTATTTTTTCAAAATATTATATCAAACGTAGGTAAAATTATGGTCGAACATTTATATGTTTGAATTATATTATATATTATACAAATATAAGTATTTTAAAATATAATACGTATATAATAATATGTATGTAATATATTCAAATATAATTTATAAATATAATATACATTAACAATACTAAATTAACAATAAACTAGGATATAATATATACAACAATATTAATTAACAATTTAAAAACGAGAAGGAGGAACATTGTACGCTGTTCTAAACCCATTTCATAGAGTAGTATGGGTACTACAAATGGTTCCGGGACTTTTGCGGTCAGCACCTTTTTCTGCTCAAATTTTTCGAGAAGAGTTTACGCCAATAATAGAACAGGGATTAGATTTAGTGACTGAAACTCTAGTTTACTCGTCTGTAAAAACATTGAATCGTATACGACGAATAATTATAATAAGGTGTTAAGAAAATATGATTGACAAAATATATTAATTATATAATTATTAATAATTAAAACAATATTTTAAACATGCTGTAAAAAAATACTCAAATTCCTAAGCTTGGAAAGATGTGAAAGGAAGTTTAAATAAAAATAAATATATACCTTTTAACACAAAATAAGTATGTAATATATATTATTTATAGCATCCACATTTTATTGTTAGGTAGATAGAAATAAATTGACGGTAAGTGGCACGAAAAAGGTGCCGAAGGCAAATGCCCTGACCGCATCGGTGCCGACACCCGTCACATTATATGGCGTTCCACTGCGTGGACAGTTTTGAGCCACAACGGGCCTGCCCAACCGGGCTCGTCCAGAGGGGAAATCAGTCGTAGTCCAGCAGAATCTCCGAACTCTTGTATACTTAATTTGTTTGACGTTGTTTAAATAAAAATATATAGTATTTATCTGAGCGTACCTATTAATTTCTCGTTAAGACGTACACAACAACGCCTAATAGGTTCATTTAACATATAATTTGTGGTAGATAGTTTTATAGAAAAAGGGACAGAATGCCTGACAAATCGTTGAGGTACCTTGAAATTAACCAGAGATAGGAGGGTAGATCAACTAGTTTTACCAGATAGAATATTATTTAGGAACTGGAGATTTATTGAATGTCGGTGATCAGCCAACGAATCTAAACTGAGTCTTGAAGCTACAGGCGTATAATCATGTTGGGGGTGTGGGATTTTGGTGAAGGAACTAGCGAACCTAAGAAATCTTCTCTGAAATCGTATTGGGATCCTGCCATACTCAAGTATACTCCGCAACGAAGCGCAGTAGAGTACCTTAAGGGATTGACCGTTAGTGAAGGAATTAGCAGTTCGCATAATAAATCCTTTGGTTCCAAAAACTTTTCAACCACTATATGAGGTCTTCAATCTAGAAAACTTGTTAATTTGATGCAGACATCAGGAACAAAACTTTAGATGCGTCAGGATGATACCATTTATATTATAAGAGAAAACAATTTTAGAGTGTCTTCTAGTGAAAAACATCATGCTACATTTGTTTATATTTAATTCAAGTCCTATAAGGAAAAAATCCATTATGCGAGGAACGGGGTCCATTGTGGATAAATAATATATTGTAGTTGATAGAGGAAATCCCCAGAGGCAATTCTTCTTGTTCATTGGTTGATACCGAATTGTTAAAGGATAATTCCTTAGGAATGTTATTAGCTTTTTTATTATTTACGAATTTCCAGAAACCCTGGGGGACGGGGGTTAGTAATGAATGACAGTTATTGGACTGTTCAACATATGAGCAGTAACACTTTTTTGATTCAAATGTGAAATGACAATTTTTTGTCACTAGTAGCATTTGGATAAGATTTGAATCTGGCGTGAGCCCTTTTAAAAGACCAGTCAAAAGATGACATAAATTATCGAATACAAATTAGATCAGCTTTACGGAAGTTAAAGTAAGTACATAACTGATTTTAAGTCATAATATTCGGTAACGAAATGCTAAGGGCAGGATGGAAAGTGTCAACAAGACAAGAAGTTAAACAGATTTATCAATAAGAGATTTAAAATAAAACCCCCCCCCCCCCTCATGTTTTAAAGAAATTATAGGAAATTTAACATGATAAAACTAAAGTAACCTGTTACTGTGCGCAAAGTGAATTAGTATAGGTGAGTTTTATCTGTAATCGTTTTCTGTAAATATTTCCTAGAAATGTTCCTGAATTATAAATTATAACAGTTAGTCCGCATCATAATATTACCCGTTTGGTCGGTCGTTATTTATACTCGCAAGTTAATTTACGTAAAAGCAGGTAATGACGAAATTATTCATTTAGACCATAAATCCAGACAAAACTGAAGGATTATGGTTTGACTGATTTTCATTTATTGCTAAGTTTACTAGGGTTCAATCAAGGCGACTTTGAATATCTATTTTTTCAGCTGTAATATATGAATAAAATTATGATATTTTTGTTTTCATATTATTCAATAAGACACTAACAATAATTGGAATATTAAATATTTGCCTCTCAACAAACCTAGTAAAGTTAATCAATCATAATCCGTTTCCAAAATGAAAATCTGTCAAACAAAGTTCCTCCAGATTTGTCTGATGGAGCCTCCTTAATCGTAGGTATACTTAAAACTTTTACCAAATATGTATGTTAGCATTTTTTATAAACCTAAAATGTACATAAAAATATTTTGACTATTTTTTGAGCCATTTTAGGCGAACGAAATATTTTTTTTTTAAAAAATCAAAAAATCTTAAAACTATTTAAGTATATAATTAGCTTGGTCTCGACCGTTGATAATGAAACAGTGATGTCCGTTAGTCATTATTTTATTTTCGACTACGTATTGAATTTCGCCCGAAAAGACATCTTTTCCAAAAAAACATCAAGGTTCCACTCAGCTAAACAACTCATCTCGTAAAGAAATTTCGCCTTCCGCATCCAGTTCATACAATAATTACCTAGGTTATAATCTATTATAACTCGTCAGTGACATCATTTCAACCCGCAGCAGCTAGCTGACGGCCGACCGTCCTTAACGTTAACGCAATAACATGCGGAAAAACAGTTCTAAAACCGTCCCTCCACTAATTATTCCGAAGACACGAATAAAGAGTGTGTCAAATCACTCTCAATCCCGGCCTACACCTAAACTCAAAATAATGGACTCATCACCACAGCAAACAAACTTGTTCTATCACCATATAAATCACCATTTAGTCAATCACCATCAAAAACGAACAAAATATGTTTCAAACAATCGTTTTTCACCACTTATAAATGAAACCGACGTCTTCGAAAATAAGGTCAACGACACAGACGACATGGACCTTGATTCTACACTAAACGAACCAACCTTCCTCCCCAAAATCACAACAAATATAACTCCTCAAAAAATATTTATTCGTTCAGTCACCGACTTCAACTCCTTCTGTAAGACCATCAAAGAAGTGATTAATGCTTAACAATTCTCCTGTAAATGCACAATCAACGGAGTAAAACTGTCAACACAATCTTCTGACTCGTATCGTTCTGTTATTAAACATCTAAGATCCAACTCCGACTCTCACAACTACCAAGCAAAAAAGGATAGAGCGTATCGCGTGGTTATCTGCAATCTTCACCATACCACTCCAATTGATGAACTTAGAAAATAACTACTGTCACATGGTCATACTCCGAGAAGGATATCAAATGTTATCCAACACGGAACTAAATCTCCACTCCCTTTTTTTTTTATCGACCTGGTACCCGCTCTCAATAACAAAGAGATTTTTAATCTAAAATACGTATTCTACACCAAAATCAAAATCGAGGAGCCTCGGGCGAATGAAAAAATAATTCAATGTCTTCGGTGCCAAGGATTTGTTCACACAAAATTCTACTGCAATAAAAATCCCAAATGCGTTCGCTGTGGTGAAAACCATCTATCCATCGTCTGTATAAAACCCTCGAGCATGCCAGCCAAGTGTGCGCTCTGCGCGGGCGATCATCATGCCAACTACAGAGGTTGCCCTATTCACAAGAAATTCCAAGCTTCACTTCAATTAAGAAAAATCTCTCAACGACAAAATAATTCAGCCCTCCGTCATAAAATTGTAAGTCCAACAGTTTCAAACCCTACTTCAAATTCAATTTCACCCTCCAACTCTAATTATCCTCCACATTCCGTATCCCAGGTTATACAACATATCACTGTGATCATCCTGATGGAACAGCCCACGCTGGTTCGGCAATATTAAATCAAATATAAACCACACTGTTCTTCCTTGGTTTCAACCTCACTCCTTCAAGCCACTTATATTTCCTTATTGCTAAATACATTCCCACAACTATCTCTGCTGTCTACTGCGCCCTCTTGGACAGGCCAATTAAATAGCTACCGCTGACTTACAGTTCTTATCAGGAGGAGATTTCCACTCAAAACATCAAACTTTTGGCTCCAGATAAACCAACACCAGGGGTCGCTCTCTGCTTAACTCACTTATCAGCAACAAACTTAAGCACTTATCCCCTCCTGGGCTAACCTACTGGCTTACTCATTCAAACAGAACACATTTCCTTGACTTTTTCATACATACCAACAATGTGTATTAATAATTTTAACCATACACTGTGTTTATCTCAAAAATAATGTAAGTATTCCTGTTGTACAAAAAGTAATAGCAAATGAACAAGCAGAAGCTATTTACAAAACCTTAATTGAATGAAATATACAAAATTCTGTTAAAGCTCTGTCATTTGATACAACTGCAGTTAATAGTGGTCGATTAGGTGGTACTTGGATGTGTATTGTTAGAAAGACCTTCAGTGAATAACGTTCTTATTTTCAAAAGATTCGAGCACTCGTGAAATAAAATAAACAAGGACGATTTTTTTCCAGGTATTTTGGAAAATTAAATGAAAGAAATTATTAATCCACAATTAACAAGAGTCTTAGAGGTTGTAAAGGAACATTTGAAAATTGTACAACCTTGAAACAATTACAAGGAGTTAATCGAGTTCATGTTTTTTCTAGGTGGTAAACCAAATAATAATATTAATAATAATGATTTATTCAGCTCAGATAAAATATAAACAAGAAAAGAAGAAAAAAAAACAAACATAAGGAATTATATGAACTGAGCTGATTACCACTCTATTTAAGCATGCTTGTGATGAGAGGGGAAGGCTTCAGATATTAGTTATACGAATAATATTAAAATGTTAGCAAGTTTTTTTAAAATGTATAATAGTGACAATCCATTAAAAGAGTATACTAAAAATAAATAAACAAAAACAGAATACATAATAGTACTTAAATAATAATAATAATAATAATGAACATTGACATTAATTGAATTTGATCAATTAATTGATACATTTATATTAATGATTATTTTTCTCAAAAATATAATTTTTTATACTTCTTTTAATCTTTCTTAATCTTTTTGTATTTAAATTTATTTGTGTTTTCCATTTTATATCCCCATCAAAGTAAATGCCTAAATATTTAACATTATTTACACGAGTTAATTCAAAACAATTAAAATCACAACTAATACGACATTTTTCTATACTCCCGATGCAATTTACCATGAAAGATGGATGGCAAAAGCTATTTATTGCCTTAAAATATAGATTTTTCGTAATGAATTCGAATTAAGTACTCGTAATAACACGGACTTTGTGATATTTGTGTATTTCAGTATTTGTAGTAACAATTCATATTGAAGCCTGGTTTAAAACGACGTCCGCTGCAGCCATAAAATATCAAGTTTTACTATTTATACTAAAATTGTACAACTATAGTTAAATTGATAATAATAGATCTCGGGTAGCACTGAATAAATATCTAATTTTTACACGAGTAAGTGAGTTACTAAAAAGAAAGTTCTATTTAAAAAAATTCAATTTTTAAATTTCAGAAATTTACAAACATATATGCTTAGAAATTTCTTGATTATAAAATTTCTGAAATTTTACATCACTAAGCACTTTACACATTCTAATAAATATATATTAATAATAACAATATAACAGATTTAAAGTAGAATTTATGTTGATTTGTTATAACAGATATTGTCAATTGATGTAAATAAAACATAATTTGATTGTATAATATTTATAACAGAATTGATTAGACAAAAATTGAATACACAATTTTTCTGTTTCTTTTTTGTTTACATCAATTAAAATTTACCACTAATTCAGTTAGTATTTCTAATAAAATAGATATTATTATTTTATTTAAATGTATTTTATCAACCTAAGTATACACAAAAATTATTTGTATTATTTTATAATTTAATAGAATAGATATCATGAGGGTATTTTAACAATGGCAAACAAACCAATTGAAGGTTTTTCGAATGGTAGAAGTAACCCAACATAATATAAATGTGTGAAAAACTGGCATGACCAGTGGAGATTACTAAACCTAACTTAGAAAACCAATAACATTATAATTTATACTTTTCGATTGAAAATATATAATAATAATAATAATAATAATTCATATTTAATATTTTACATTATTGTAATTATTATAATCAATTATCAAATCAATTTATATTATGATTAGATGTGTATGAAGTATAACCTATTTCCAATTGTTTTTTTCCAAAAAATTGTTTGCACCTAAATATAATAATAGAAATAAAAAAAACTTTTTGTATTAACTAATATTATTTTATTAAAAATATTTTAATATTTCATAACGCCAAATGGTGAACTAATGAGAAAGCCGTATTTGTGTATGGGTTTTATTTGATGTGCAGAATGGTAATATGGGGCCAGTACCATAGAGAAGATAGAGGGGAGCGTGTGTACGTTCACCTCACCGGTAGGTATTGTCGACTTGGACCCACGGGACAAAAGCTGCTATCGCACACACACGGAAACAATATTATTTAAATAACTGCAGCTAAATGTATACAAATTAATATGTAACACTGGTCACTCAACTCTAGTTGTCACAAATAAACTAATGGGCTGACAAACTGTCAACACTCAAAATCATTTTCGAAAAAATACAATGATTTTATATTGTTGAATTCAAATTTAACATGTCATCCAATACAGTGACCGCTTGCCAACCATTTTTATTTATTATTTTTTACAAACTATCTCTTAATGTTTAAAACAAATTATGAAAAATTAAAATTGTATCAGCACATTTAATATTATACTATGATGTAAATTTAATTCATACCCTATTTGAAATGATCGATTATCATTTTTATGGTCTATTTCTTCATTAATTTCTTCTTTGACAATTCCATTCAATACTTGATTATCAATATATTCCTGTTTAATAACAGGAATATCATCACATCTTATTAATGGGATTGACAACATACTAGACCTATGTATTATATCATGATACCTAAAAAATTTATATTTTATCAGTATGTACTACCTAATAGGTTACATAAGTATAAATTAGATACATTGCACAAATTTAATAATAAATACATAAATTGACAAAACAGCTAGTTTTAATATGTACATTAAAAATTAATTTATTAATGACACACTAATTACAATGGTTTTGCTCACTTTGAATTAATCCCGCAATCATCAGTAGTTATTCTTAATGGTTCCATATTATGTCCTCTCTATTGTTTGTTTTCAATTAAATACTGTGAACATGAACCATAACAACATTAGGTACCTTATATATCAAACCTTTCAGTTGGTACGACCAACTTGTAAGAAGTGTTTGTAGTGTGTCCATTTGTACATATTCTTTTTCTAAAACTTTTCATTTAGACTGCCATAAATAAAAAGAAAACACTGATATGTATTTAAAATTGAATACCGAGTCGGTATTTAGTGTTTTTATATTTTTTAAATACATTTTCATCATGTTCCTACAATTAATCAATTACCAAGGACAAATTTATAACGGCAATAAAGTATATTATGAAGAATAAGTTGGAACAAAAAATAGGATTCTTAACTACACATAACATTAAATAGGTACTTTCTTCTGTTACTTAGCTAACTCTTGCCCTTAATATACAATATAATATTTCCCTCACAGTCTCACCAATCATCAGTGTTGTAAAAAATACTTCATTTACTTTTTAAAAATATTTAAGTAATTACTCAAATACTCTTAAAATAAAGTTTTTAAAACACCACCAATGAACTTTTCTCTACTAAGTTATATATTAATTTAAAGCTATATGTATTTGGATATCTCAAACAGTCATCGATCGTCTTTGACGATAAACTATAATGATATTTATTGATAACAATTTTCTAGGTAAATAGGTGGGTAGTAGGTACAAATATTTAGTAATAATGTATTTGTATAGTTAAATAGTTATAAGCTATAAGCTATAAAGTATAATAGCAGTTAAACAGAAGCTTTTTACATATTTATTTTGTTATTGACTGAAACAAATAGTCTACAGATGTATCTTTTCGATCTTCATCGACAAGTGTACAAATATACTGGGACATATCAATATGTTCAGTGCCCTTTTTTCACACTGGTTAAAGCAAATTAATTTCTATCAGAAAATAAAAAGTTGTATGAGGTTGTATTCAATAGAGATATGTTGTTCTGAATAATGTATAATAGAGTATGTACATAATTAGTGTTAAACTGAGATAGGTTATGAAGCTATGTCAGTGTTGTAAAATATTTGAGTAAAAGTATTCAAATACATTTTTCTGTATTGAATACTTTTTTAAATGCTATTTATTTATGTATTTGTATGGCTTTTTAAATACTTTTATTTTATTTTAATTCTTAATTTATTTCTATTTACAATTCTTGTTAAATAAAAATTCCTGTGCCGTCATGGTGATGCGTTATAACAATATTATATTATTTATTTATCATTTATGGACAATTTGATACCGGTTTTCGTCGATTTATAGCTTAATTAAATGTTTTTTTTTTCTCTAGGAAATAGTTTATTGTTGATGACAATCGAAATGGTACATTGGTACCAGTATTAGCTTATTAAGCCAACAACAAAATATATATGCAATAAGATTCTTCTTACCAGCTATTATACAATAAAATTATTTAACTGTACGGAAATATTATTACAAATTATTAATACTACCTATTTAGTATTTACCAAGAAAATGGTAATCAATTATCATTATTGTTTATCATCGAAGACAATATGGGATATTCAAATACATAATATAGCTATAAATTAATATAACTCTCTGTAGAGAAAAGTTCATTGTTGTGGTGTAACTATATGTTTTTAAAATGCAATAAACAAATTTTTGATTACTTATAACAAATTACTTTAGGACTAAATAGAGGTATTTTTTTGTATTTGAAGATTATTTCAAATACCTACTTCTAACGCATTTGGGTTGTATTTTAAATACTTTTTTTTTAAATATTTGAGTTATTACATTAATGCATTTTAAAAATATTTTTGGAACAATTCTAGTTTAGCGCCCACTCGAATTTTTCGATTTTTTTCGGAAACCTATGTATTTCGACGAGTTTAAAACGATGGTGTAAAAGTTAGTTTGAGGAAATGATTATTTTGGAAGTTACAGCCTTCCAAAGTTTGCGATTTTACGTTTATACGCATGCGCGCAACACTACTATAATGCCCCGCGGAGGACATCGATATTTTTATATTAAAAGTTAGGAGTCCGTATGCATAGTTAATTTGTGTTTTCACTCCTTGACCTGTTTACAAGAGTATATAGTGACTCCCTTCGCCTATCGGCTCCGGTCGCCAGTTAGAGTAACATAAGTCTATAGAAGCTCGTGGTCCTGAGGACCTCTCGTTGGATGGGGGCTCGGCCCCCAAACCCCCTTGGGCCTTAATAGCAAACCTGGGTGGGAGAGCGTACCTGCCCTTCAGGCAGACGGATGACCTAACAAGTAATTTTAACCTTGTTAGTTTAAGTGTCACAAGTATAGTGGCTCTGGTCTTCAAACTCAAAGGACGCTAAGTGTTGGCGCTAAACTAGAATTATGCCATATTTTTTACAACACTTATGATTGTGTTATAATATTACAGTTCAATAAAATGGATAATTTTACAAAATATATGAATAAATATGTTTCATTTTATACCTAGGTACATAGAAGACATTGAGTTTGTCATTATTAAATTCTGTGGTTCGATATTCAATTTTAATTTACCAACTATAAACTGTATAATAATAAAGAATACATATTTTATTACAAAATAAAGTAGGTACTTACACGGTAGCTGGTTACACTTACAGGTGCTCATTCACGCTGGATTATTTATTAGCTGATATTATTACCAATGGTAATTTATAATAAAACTATCTTTATTTTTTTAATAGTATTGATGGTCTAAGCCGCCACTCAATACTCATAAACAAGCCAAGACAAATGACATTGCCACATTGGTACTCGGTACTCGGTAGTCCGTGCTCCAGTCATTCCTATCAATGTTATTATATTGTTTTAAGGTTATATCAGTGTTGTCAGGTCAATCAAAACAAACAGCGCTACAGTTTGCGCCACGCTAGCGATGATGTAGAAATAGTGTTTTGCCACAGACTTCTATATAATACTGTATTATATACACGATTAAAGATATACTTAAAATAGACGACTATCGGTTCCGTAAAATTGAAAACAGTTACGTAAATATGATAGCTGTTATCAAAAACATAGTTATTGAATCGATAAGTTAGAGATCCGATTTCGGTTCTGTATTAGAGATGGGATTTATCGTTCACTTAGGTGAACTAGTTCATTCGTTCATCGTTCACTTAATTGAACTAGTTCACCGAACTAGTTCATTGAACGATACGTCTAAACATATACTGTACGGACGAACTGAACGATACGTATTATATACCTGTCCTACCCTACGTATAGTTCATCGTTCATCATGCAATTGAACGAATACGTATAGTTCATCGTTCATAATGCAATTGAACGAATACGTATAGTTCATCGTTCATAATGCAATTGAACGAATACGTATAGTTCATCGTTCATAATGCAATTGAACGAATACGTATAGTTCATCGTTCATCATGTAATTGAACGAATACGTATAGTCCATCGTTCATCATGCAATTGAACGAATACGTATAGTTCATCGTTCGTCGTTCACTTGCTTAATTGAACTAGTTCATTGAAAGAATACGTACATAACCCATGTCCCATACGAATAGCAATGGTGGGCATGTTAATGAAAATAATTAACTGTTGAAAGTTAAGTTAATTAAATTAAATTGCCTTCAGTTAAGTTAAAAGTTAAGATAGAAAATAAAATTAACTTATCTCAGTTAAAAAAAAGTTAATTTTTTTGAAGGTAGAATATTTTTAAGTCATAAGCCACCATAGTATTTTAGGTAAAAGGACGTTTCGTCCCCTTCAAAAAAGCGAGTCCACGGACGTTTCGTCCTCGTCTATTATTGTGACAGGACATTTGGCCCCCGGACGACGACGACAACGTCGATAATATGAACTCCCGGCGACCAAATGTCCTACCTTAATAAAAGATGGGGACGAAACGTCTGTGAGCTTATTTTTATTAGGGGACGAAATGGCGGGGGCGAAACGTCCGTGATTCAGTACTTTGTTATACACAAACATTTACCAAGATATTTAACACTGTGTAAAAAATTAACTTTTTAACTTAACTTTAACTTTTTAACAAGTTAATGCCCACATTTGACAAATAGTACTCTCTGTACTTTTTATTTATTTATATATATTTTTTTAAGGTCTTTATAGACTTATAGTAGTATCAAAATATATTCAAAAATATTTGAATTTAATTGTTTATAGTCTCTATACCATGTATACAAGCTTTAACCAAGCTCGGGTTAAGATAATTTTTGCCCCGGGGGCATATTATTTTAGGGACCTATATTATACAAATATACAATATACATAATAAACAGTAAATATACAATAGAAATATACCTAGAATAATGGATTGTGACCTTTTAAATAGACAGAATTTGATTAGAAAATAGATTATTTAATTATATCTCCTACCAATAAATGTAGTACCGGTATTTAATATATAAAATATTATAATATAATATTAATAACTATATGCTTTATAGTTTGGTAAAAGCCAATAGGTAACATTTTAATTTTGAACAACTAACAAATGACGGTTCGAGATAATATTATATATAATAGATATTAGATAATGTTATCTTAGTTCATGCCTCATGGGGTTTGATGAAATGAACGATTGAACGAGCGAAAATATTTACCATTTTGTCGTTTCGGTAAAAAATTTTTCTCGAATGAACGAATGAACGATTTCGTTCGTCGTTTTGTCGTTTTACGTCGTTTATTGGGTGAACGATTTTCAGTGGTGAACGATGTCGTTCACCTTTTAGTGAACTAGGTCCAATCGTTCACTTGGGGTGAATAGTTCAATTGAACTAGTTCGTTCGCGAACGACCCATCTCTATTCTGTATGAGATTGTTCTCACCAAAGCAACTTGCAACCGCAACTTGATTGCAACGCAACTGCAACGCAACGGAGCACAAACAAATTAACGAACATGTTCCCACTGGTTGCAACTCGACCGAAAAGCGATCAAACTTGCATGAAACTTAATTGCAATCGATTGAAAGCAACTCGACATGCACGGTTTTTTCTCCAGTTGCGTATTAGTTACCACCGTACGATCATTAATTATTTATTTATTTATTTTTCTGGATCTTGATCCAACTCTTTTGAAACAATAAATGTACTGTAGCACACATTTCTAATATAGTGTGGATGAATCCAAAACCGCCTCTTTCTTTGCCTCTTTCTTTTTTTTAAGTATAAATAGGCAACAACAACGTCATCTTCACATGAAGACATATTTAATTACCAAAAATATTAAATTACTGACTTCACTACTTGAGATACACTGGTCACTGATACACTGGGAGACAACTGACTACTGAGAGGATATAACACTCACTAAACAACATAATAATAAAAAACAAACAGTTGCAGTTGCAAAGTAGGTAAATAATTCGGTTCAATGAGAACACTGAACGCAACGCAATTTAAACTCGACTGCAACCCAACGAGTTGCACGATCGAGTTGCGGTTGCAAGTTGCTTTGGTGAGAACAATCTCTATAATTTGCAGAACTCTTTACCTTATCATTTAGGTAATTATATTTTTTTTATCACGAAAAAAACGTGACATTTTCGTGATAAGTTGAGTATTGTGATTTGTACCGTTATATCTAATTTGTTTTATTCAATATTCAGTATTCTGTGCTTGGTACATTATTATTTACTGAATTATACTGTAATAAATTAATCTTTTATTTTTGTTAATAAAATGTCATTAACATCAGCCTCATCTTCATCAGATGAGTCTGATGATAATAATATGTTGTTTGACATATTGATTAATCTTCCATCGCCGAGACGATTTCGGGTTCGGTCAAATCCTCTCGAAGATTATGATGATTTTGACTTTAAAATTCGCTTTAGGTAAGTACCTATGTTTCTTCTTCTTCTTTGCCTTTATCCCCCGCAAGTTCCAATGTTTCATAAAGTATATTGTCCAACGTACTTTTAATAAGTAAATTAATTTATCATTTATCACAATTTAGTATTTATTAAAATTAAAATTTATTATATAATTTATTCATTTTTTATATTTTATAAACTAATAGATTATCCAAAGAAACTTTCATGATACTTTTGCACATGATTGGAGAAAATATTGAACATAAAACTCTGAGAAATTTCTCCCTATCAGCTGAAGTGCAGATTTTAATTGCTCTCCGTTATTATGCTACGGGAACATTTCAAGTTTGTATTTTTCATAAGCATAAATATTTATTAGATATACCTTTATACAGATATATATGTATTTAAAATGTATAGTAAATCAACAGAAAATGCCTGACAAGTATACTTACATAATAACATGTATAATTTTAGGCTGTTTTGGGTGATCATATCCATGTACACAAAGCTACTGTTTGTAGAATTGTCAAACGTGTTTCTTTACAAATTGCACAGTTACGACCACAATATATTCAATTTCCTAACAATACTGTCCAACTTCAACAAATCCAAGCAAGATTTTATAAATTACATGGGTTTCCTAGAGTTATCGGCGCTATTGATTGTACGCATATAAGAATACAATCACCTAAAAATGATATTGGAGAGAAGTTCCGCAACCGTAAAGGATATTTCTCATTAAATATTCAAGCCATATGTGATAGCCAATTAAAAATTATGAATATTGTAGCTAGGTAAATATGAACTTTTAAATTATATTTCAATTAATTGTATAATTATATAACTTGTTTATTTAGATGGCCTGGATCTGTTCATGACAGCACTATATTTGATAACAGTTTTATACGTGCGAAATTTGAAAACAATGAATTCGGAAATAAGTTTTTACTTGGAGATGGTGGTTATCCATGTAGAAGTTATCTCCTGACCCCTCTTTTGAACCCAAGAACTGATGCTGAACGGAAATATCAAGTACCTATTATAATCACAACATTATTGGAACTTATCAAAATATATAATATTATTATTTTCATATTAGAAGGCTCAAATTGGCACAAGAAACGTTGTTGAACGTTTATTTGGAGTTTGGAAGAGAAGATTTCCTGTACTAGCCATAGGAATTCGCACAAAATTGAGTACTACCATGAACACTATAGTTGCTACAGCTGTTTTGTACAATATCCTTCTACTACAAAAAGATGAGATACCATTAGAAGAAGATAATTTAGTTGATAATGAATTGTTTGAAGAGTTACCATCAATTCCTACTCGACAGTTGGGAAATGCTGCTAGATCAAATTTAATAAACCATGTGTTTTCTTAAATAAAAAAGAATTTTGATTAAATATATTTGTATTTATATTTTAATTAACAGTATATTGTTATTTTTTGTAAAGGTATGAAACATAATACTTATATTATACTAAAATAAAATTAAAATTAATATAGAACACAACATTTTAGTGCAACAAAATAAAACTTTAACATACATTAAACTCTTTAGTTTTCAAAAAATAAAAATAAAACAACTTAAATACTAATTTAGCTGTAATCTACAATTGCAGCTAAGTTGTTAATTGTTTTAAAAGAATAGCTTCTTTCATTTTGTTTTGTTTCAATTCAGATTCTAAAATCTGTTCTTTTAAGTTGTTTTGCCTGTTTTCAGAATCATACTGTTTTTTGTCTGCTTCTTGTTTCAAAATAATTATATTATTTTCAATTTCTGTTGTTTTTAATTTTAATTGAGCTTTCTGCAATGTTAATGAGTTTAAAGTCTCTGTAACTTTTTCTTTGCCTTCAGCATGTAATAAATGTTTGGTTGTCAATTGTTTAAGCCCTTCATAAACCTTTTTGATTGATGCATCTTTACGAACAATGTTTTTCCCAGTTTCTTGAATACTATCAGTCACAGATTGGTTATCCAATGTTTTTATGATCTGTTTTTCAGGCAATTTAAGACTTTCTGGACTTCTTTTTTTCGAAACAGGTGAGATAGATGTCACAGATATATTATGGTCTTTTGGTAAATGCACTGAAAAATTAATTTATGCAATATAATATATGATTAATAATTATTATAATAATAATTATTTCAATATTGTAGGCAGATATGAAAAGATTGAGAATCTTTGATGTAAATCTTAGAATAAAAACCAAAATATTAATGAATACATACCAGTCTCATATTCATCCTCCCCGATTATTGTTTCAACAATTGTATATTGGTCATCATTAAATGCTGTATCATAATCATTAATTACTATTTCCTCGTCTACAAATAAAAAACCATATAGTTCATAATTAGTGAGGTGGGAGGAATGTAGCTAGAGAAAAATAAAATTTGAATTATTTGTTATAAGTACTGAAATAAAATAATTCTTATGCATACCTGGATACTGTGGATAATCTGTATCACAATCGGTGTCATTTTGTAAAGGGTCTACGCGATCTCCTAACACGCCCAACACTTTCTGTGTTGAATTTGACAAAGATGAAAAATTGCAGCCACCTCCTGTTTTGTATAGTTCAACCTAAATAAAAAAGTAATAATAATATTCTGAGTAAAAAAAAAAACTAAATGGTTAAATAAAAATAAAAAGGTTTACCTTGTTATCACTTTTCTCCTTTCGGGCTTTTCTTTTTTGAACATCATACAATGATTTTAACTGTCGAATGCTTCTGATACCAGACTCTTGCTGGCTGTTGTATGTATCACTGATTTCAATCCAAGTAACATCTTTACATTTATTAGTTATACCATCAGTCTAAATTATTGGACAAATAATTATTGCAATATAAATTATGATTAAAATTTTCATAAGATTCACTATTGCAACACAAAAAGAAAGAATAGCTAAGTCCACGAACAATTAACACATTCATGTTACCAAATAATATTTTTATTTAATTGACTTACCTTAATATTTTCAATAATTTTTTTGTGCGGTAAAACTAAATCAATTAAAAGGCATTTTTCAGCCTCAGTGAAATTTTTACCTCTTTTGTCACTTGCCATTTTGATATAGAAAAACAAATATTTATAATAGAACATTAGAACGGAAAATGACAGAACACTCAACGACTCAGCACACAAAACTTCATATTGAATTATCATTTATCACATTATCATTTATAAAAAAAAATATTTATACTGATAACTGAGCAAGTGGTTGTAACCTTGGTTGTAACCATAGATAATAAATACAAATAATAAAACAATTTTATGCAACGCAAACTGTTCAGTACAGAACATCTGTTACAGAACAGATAGATTAAAGAACCAATAGTTTACAGAACAGATTTTATGCAACCCGGCATTAATATACTTAATATACTTAATATACTTAGGTATACTAGGTATATCTTTAATCGTGATTATATAGAAGTCTGTTTGTTTTGCACGATTGCCGACTTCGTTATCATTATTAGTTATAACTTATCACCGATTTTTTTATCACATTCTTATTTCTTATCAAAAAATCCAAAATTTTAAGAACATGATGATTAAATTAATAGTAATTATAGTTGGGTAATGGGTAATAGAATATAATTTTTAACAATTCATTATGGGTAGTCATTTAAATTATAATTCCAAGTCTTAAAATAAATAATTCAATATTGAAATGGTCGATCGTCAATGGAATAATGTATATTATAATAAAAAGTTATAATAATAATTATAAAATAAATGTTTTGAGACGTGAGTACAATAAATTGAAATATAATGATAATCAATTAAAAATGATAATTTTGTTGAATAAATAATAATCGATTTACAATAGTCAACAGTAAGGTGATGTATAATTCTTAAAAACAATTAAAAATGTATTAAATGCAAAATAAATAAATAAAATTTAAGCTGACTCAGAACCTTCTTCATCCAAGTCACTATCGTCATACATGCATTAGTTGAATTTTTTTAAATGCTCTTCTGTTATAATATAATCAAGGCAACATTTATTGTCGTTTTTTATGTCTAATTTTGTTCTAATCAAAGCTTTTACAGTATTCGGGTTGAGACAATTTCTTTTTTTAGTTTTTATATCAGTAAGCATTGAAAATACCCTTTCTACGCCAGCATTACCATGAGGAAGAGTTAATACAACTAATGCCAACTCAGACAAATTGGGAAAAACAGCACAGTCATTGAAGTTGTTAACATTTTTTATGTATATACAAAAATCAACAACTTCTGTTGGAAATATTTCTGATGTCTTCTCATCTTCAGAAAAGTAATTTCTAATGAAACTAATTTTATTTAATATATCTTTTTTTTTCTCATTGAAATTTAAACATTTCAAAACATTATTTATGCTAATACTTGAATTACTTAAAATTATATTGGGATTCACAAAACTAATTTCTTTATATAGTTGATTATTAATTGGTAATCTTTTAATACTTTGGTCAATTATTTTTTGGTAGAAAAAAATAATAATATTCATAAATTCTATGTAATTCGAATTATTGTTACAGGCGTTTAATATACTTCTAGTATCATCTCCAAAACATATTTCGTCATTTGAGAGTAAGTGAGAAGGATTTTTAAAATCAAGTTTATCAAATGAATCGTCAGAATAACATTCAGTTTTAAGAAATGTAGAGCCCATAACTCGAATAAATCTTGTACTTTCTTCATACATTTTAAAAACCAAAACTTTGTCTGATTGGAAGAATGCATTGAATGCATTGAGAGGTAATATATACTGCAAAAAACATAAATATGCCTTATTATAAGGATTTTAGATCTCATGATAAATTCATTTAGCCACTGGGTTCTTTTCTTCAACCTGAGCCAGTGTAAATAATTGTTTTAAGACATCCCATTGTTCAAGAATTCTATCAACACATTTATGAAGAGACAGCCATCTGGTCTGGCTAGGTTGAAGTATTTTAACGCGGGATTCATTCATGAATTTCTGAAATTCTCTTAAAATTGATTGTCATTTTGGACTACGTGAAAAATAATTAGATATGTTTTGTAACAATATTTCTACTCTATTTGGTATACAAGTAGCAGCTGATGAAGCTATCAAATGTGCGGTATGACAAATGCATCCATTTACTTCTACGTGCGGATTTTCTTTCAATAAATATGTTTTGAAAGATTCATTGCAACCCATCATAACTAAAGTATTGTTGGCACAGTAACCAACAATATTTTTTGTACATAAATTAAGTATTTTTTAAACTATTTTTAAATACAGTGAATAAACCTATTGCTGTTCAACAATTTAGTATTACTAATATCCGTGCTTTCATCAAGATAAATTGAACATTTTTTTTGCTTTAAATCATTAACAATATTTTCTTCGACAGTTTTAGAAAAAACATTATTTATAATTTGGCTGCATTTCGTACGTTTTAAAGAAATTTGTTTTGATATTTTAGAATCATCAGAAATAATTGATTCTAACTGAGATAAATGATTTATACTATTGAAACTTATATTATGACATAAAACATACAAAACTTGTTTAAGTTCTGGCTTTTGAACTTTAATTTTCAATTGCGATTGGTCAGGGGTAACTGTCAACGGTAAAACATTTTTGCTACTTACAGATTTTAGATGGTGATTTGATTTGCTATGCCGAATAATGTCACTTTTTTTGCTTCCGAATGTTGTATTACAAGAAATGCATTTGGCTTTAGCTGGTTCATGAACTACAGGTTGTAACCATCCAACAAATCTTTCGTCATTTAGCCAAGAATCACTAAATAGTTGTTTTCTTACATTTTTTTGTTTTTCTGTTGTGGTCAGTTCCCCGCATTTTAGTCTTTTGATTTTTGGTGTCAAATTCTTATCTTCATCATTTTCATCATCAGTTATGTCATCTTGACCATAAATTATTGGATTATATGTAGTAGTCACCAGATTAATACAGTACCTAGTTAATTGTTATATATTGCAATAAAGATTATTATTCTTACTTTTGGTCTACCGGTTAAAAAACGCTTCATATTTCAGATGACAGATACACATAGTACATACAGCTAAATATATTGTCTAATTGTCTATTGATTTCCATTGGAAATATCACAGTACAATGTTATTTTAGGAACTACCAATTTTCAGTACCAAAAAACCACCAAAGATTTTAATAGTATACAGTCAATCTATAGTATTTGGGACCTATAATTAATTTTCATTGTAATTATTGTAAAAAATACCTAATAATTATAATATTATTTAAATTTATGCGGGAAATGTTGGTAAATTATGAGATTATGCATAGAACCTTAAATTATCTTTAACCGTGATTCACCAATTTAACGGTTATAAACATAGATAGTATGTATTAACTAAGGTGCATAGGATAAGAG